GTAGTTCAAATTGGCGAAAATTGGGGGTAACTGCAGGCGTTCTTGCACGGGTTACTGGTACTGTAAGGTTTGCCCCCCAGTTACTAGGGGCCTAAGGGTTTGGGGATCAGGTTGTGGGGCTTTGAGGTATTCATACTCGTCGGGGTTACCGGAACGGTTCCACAAAGGCTAGGCGAGGAGTATAGCAGGTTCCTTAAACCAGGGTACTGTTGTTGCCAGTAGAGAGTTTCGTAAAAATGAGGGCCTGGTGGGTTTTTCGGAATTTAAGGTTCAGGTTAGCAATGGGGACGTGGATTTAGGGTAGAGCGGTCCGGCACCCCGGACGGTTGAAACTTAGGGATGAAGGCTCAGGATTTGGTTCTGGCCCGAAAATTTGTTTTCTATCGGGTCACCCACTTTCAGGATGAAGTTTAGGCTTGGAGGTGGGGCACTGGAACAGCAAAACGCCGGGGGTTGTGTAGTGGTCTTCTCTGCCATGGTACGAAGTCCGCAACCCCTTAAAGAACTACAGCTTGTATTCAGGATTCTGCGAACAAGCTGCTAGCGAAGTGCTTCGCAAATCTGCTGGAGGTGCTGAGCTGCCGAACTTAAGCTTCGCCTCAACCGTACCTTAGGCCTTAGGAGTTAGTTTTCGCGCGGGATTCTTAAAGATGTCTTTTCTTTTGGGTTCACGGGAAGTAAACACCGGAAGCAAGAAAACGCACGGAATCCCTAACTCCACCCTTAAACTCCGGAGCTCAAACTTCTCTGAACCCCGAACCTTTAAGCCAAAAGCCGTAAAGTGACGCTAACGTCACAACCGTTCAAACAAGGCCAGAACCATTCGACTCTGAAACCTTTAATGTTTGAAGGCCAAAAGCCTTTCCTGTCAGTCTTGAACTGCAAAACCCAGATCCCCAAACTCCTTGTTTCTAATCCCACAAAGGGTTTCTACAAGGGTATCTATAAGGGTCACTATGATTCACTATGATAGTTTAGGGTTTAGGCCTTGGGGCTTTGGGGACGATAGCAATTTAGTGTGGGTTCAGGCTTTGCGACTTGGGAGTTTGGGCTTCAGGATATGAGGTGTGTCCCGGGAGCCACTACTCCTTTGCACTCGAAGGTTATAATGTACAGCCGCTATGTGTGCCCCTATATGTGCTGATAGAAAACTGACAAGGAGTGCATTCGGGTTCTATTGGTAAGGTTTAGGATTCCTAACCCCTTGTATACCCCCATTTCTGAAACTTCAGGCCGAAGGCTTCGGGAGTTTGTTTTTTAAATCCCAAACCCCTTCATGGAATCATAAAGAATGAATCAGACTAGCGCTCACTCTAGAATTGTGAGGTACAATCCTCAATTGAATGTTGTTGAACCACTCGTAGAGGAATAAGACAAGGGGCCCTCAAGGGGTCTTGATGGAAATCCATCTTTCTACAGATCACTACTTGTAGGATTTAGGGTTCAGGGCTTACTAAGTTACTAATGCAAGTCAGAATGATAAAAGTAGGAGAGTATCAATATTGCATGACGGGAGTCCTAGTGAAAGTAGCACCAGGAAGCACAAGATCATTCGTATTATGATTATGATTCTTACTAGTATTGCTATCATTATTACTACGATTATTACTACTATTCTCATTATTATTATTACTAGTATTATAATTATTAGTATTATTAGTATTTCTATTTTTATTATCATTATCATTACATAAGGAGCCTGGCCAGGCTTCGGATCTGAAGCCCGTCGGTGCGAGCATCGTCCAGCTGCTGCCTGCTATGAAGGCAGCAGCTTTGTCGAAGAAGTGGGGCCCAGAAGGCATGCGACCTACTTGGAGGTTCATGGGTAGTTATAAATGAGGTTATATATTAGGGGACTTATAACTCCACTTATAACTCCCCATGAACCTCCAAGTAGTGCTCCGAGAAGGGAGGCTCTAAGGGCTGCTATTAGGGCTTGAGGGTCGCTGGTTGGGGAGCTGTTCCGACAGGTGTTGCCGTGCGGATTTCTTGTGGACCCTTCAGTTCTCTAAGGGGTAGGTAATCTTAGGGTATCCTAAATGTTAAGTTATAAGGTTTTCTAGATCCCTAAAGCCACACTTGCTCCATTGAAGCCCCACCAGGTTGAACGTAGGATAAGGCTGAGTATCTGATTATTTCGGTTCAACATTCTATTTGATCGGGTTTGGGGGTGTGATGGGGTTTGGGGGTGTGCCAGCGAGGTTTTCCCCAGCGGAACATCTCGTTGTGGGTGTAGGCTTTAGGATATATGGTTTATATAGGGCTTGAGTTTTAGAGTTGAAGTTGGAGGTGTAGTGTAACTAGAGCTCAGTATACTGTTCCTGGGTTGGGGGTGTCTAGCGTAGCATTTAGGGGTTTTAGGATGGCAATCCAACAGTAATTATGCGCTAAACCCTCGAGTCTAAGGCGCCAAACCATCCTCAACCCCCCAACTCCAAGCTTCAGCCTCAAAGCGAAGAGGAGCCGCCGCAACCTCAACCTTTTCTGCTGGTCGCGCTCTCAGTGCCAGCTTCACAGCTAGAGATCTGCTTCGGAAGCGTTTGGAGCGCTTATAAAAGCTTAAAGCGTAAGTTTTTGCAGGGGTTCCAGGCAAACGAATTGCGGGGTTGAGGAGCTTAGGCCTGGGGGACTTCAGGGTGTCGGGGTTTGGAAAGTGTAGGGTTGTGGCTTGTTGGTGCCGCACTCTAAGCGTCTGTGTTTGAGTATGACTAATTATTGACTGATTACGGTCTACAGCATCACGTCTGTAACAGTACCGTTTTCCCGCTTCTGGTGTAGAGGCTCTAGGTGATATTACTGGCTATATGACTGCTTGCTACAGAGCTATGACGACGCATGCTGCACTCACGTGTTATCAGCGCGAGAAGTAGCCAGCATGAAGGAGCTGCGTTGCGGATGGTTGTACAACATGGTCGGGATCCGGTCATGTGTCCGTGCTGTAGCTGTTCAGGGGATGTAGGGCAATGTAGGGTTGGATATTGCGGTGCGTTCTGCGCCGATGGTGGCAGTAGTGTTCGGGAATCCCAAGACTAAAGTTGCTGCAGCAGTGCTGCAACTTTGGTGCCAAGTTCACGTGAGGCCCCCTTGCAAGAGCAGTTCCGAAGATGTGCCAAGCTCGGTTCGCGTGGACTTGGCTTTCTCGGGGCAAGCAGAGTTTGCACTGACCAAGCCTTGATTCCCAACAGGTCCTATCAACTTTGCTTCGCTTGCTGCGATGCTTTTCGGGCTTTACAGACCTGCCCAAAACAGCTGCAACACATGTGTCTTCGAGGTCCTTGCATCAGTCTGCTCCCAGTGACATAGTCACTTTAGTCCTCCAGAGGATCGATGTGCATCCTCTATGTTTAGGAAAGTGGCTGCGGGTGGCGCATCCGCAAGTTTTTCCGTCTGCGCTGGAACCTGCCCTCAGTGGAAATCCTAATTAACTAGAACCTGACTCTTCGGTTTGTCATGGGAAGGCTCCCTCTCACCATCTCCAAATTCCTGGCGGTCAGCAACCGCCGTGGTGGAGTTTTCTTGGCATCTTGATTTGGGATTGTAGCTGACAGGAGTTGTCGTGGCTAAGGCACAGAAGCTTTGTCTCTGGTTGTGCCGTCTCTCAGCATCAGCATGGGAAAATGTCGGCCCTGCCGCCATGATAGCAGATGTCCTCGCACCGGTTGCACCGGCGTTTTTCTCCACCGCTGCAGTGGTCACAGCTACGGTGGCCGCGAGGCGGCCTCTCCAGGATGATGGAGCGGTTCGTGTGGAAGCGCTCAAACAGGTCATGAGGGCAGACTTCAGGACAGCACTTTGTGCTTGGAGCGTTTGGCTTCTGGTTGTTTTAGAGGTAGGCACGTGCACGGCCTACCCCTTGCTTGCCTTGTTCCTGAACAACACTCTGCTGCTGCCGCTGGCTGGACTTGTGTTTTTGATTGCCATCGCACACAGCGGATGCAATCTGTGGTCATACTCGCGAAGTCCGATAATGTTTCTGTTTTTTCCAGATGGCTATTCCAGATTCGGACTTCTTGAGGACGAGAAGCCTGCAACTTGCTTTTATGTTATCACGACAGGTATGAAACTTGGATGCTGTTTCTTACTCTACTACTCCTTCGCCGTTGCCACATCTTCGCTGCAGCTCTCCAAATGCGGCAAGGGCACTGTAGACGACACCTGCGAACAGGCGCCGCCGTTTTTGTTGGCTGCATGTCAAAGTCAGGAGTTCCATGGTTTCGATAGGTGTATGGAAACTTCGCCTTGGTGGTTTGCAAATGCATGCATTGTCACGGGCAGTACATGCCGTTTATTTCGTTCCGATGACCGCTGGCTGCAACTCGCCAGTGACACTGTGGGATCCGCCGCGGACCATGTGTACTACGCGATGGCGGTCCTCCCCGTGGTATTACCGCTTGTCTCGCTTATCCTCTGGCTGGCATTATGCTGCCTACTGTCTTGCGCGTTACCGCGAGCATTGCCGGAAGGTGGCTGGCGGCACCAGGTAGAGGAGCGTGTTGATTCCATTGAGGAAAAAATGAAACAAGGCACGTTCAAGCCCAGCAGCTATTCTCGAGGGTCACTGTACATGGAATTTCTGCTGCTTGTCATTGATGTGGTCTCCGATATCAACTGCATCATCACTTTCTTCGCGATTGAAAATCATCCCGCTGCGGGAATATTTCAGACAGCCATCTTGGTTTTGCCGGTCCTGTTCGAGCTTTGTCAGACACGGCGTTTCCAGCCGGTGGTGCTCTGGAAGGAATTCAACAAGTCGCGAAGGCGGGGATATCGCACCGCCGGCTTCATTCGCATCGTCCAGGCGGAGAAGGCGACCATAACCCAAAACAGTTTCAACCCGAATAGGAGTAGCAGTGTTCTGGTTAAAACCTTAACCTACACCAATTATTCCTTCGTTTACAGCTCATTGAACCGAGGGCTTGGAAGCGCCATTTTCGTGTTTCTTCCAGCTGTCCATCCTTTATCGGAACACGTGCCTCGGCCTTTGCCTACTTTCGAGGGGTTAAAGGTTTTGGGCGTTCAAATGATCGCAAAGGGCAGCTACTTCCGCAGTTGTCAGGGATTCAGGTGTCAAGGTTCCACGTCTCAGGTTCCAGTAAACCCCCCAAAAAAGCTTCGCCTACCCGTAAACCTATAGGCCAAACTTGTCCTCGGTCGAGTTGAGGTCTTGGTGCTCATAAGTTTTTCCAGAGTTGCCCTAACAGAGCTGACAGCCGCCGGGGTAAGGGTGATACATTGCATGATACTGATGTTAAGCCCAACTAAGGTACGTACTTGTAACTATATCACCGAATCAATGACTCCCAAGATCAAAAACGCATTCTTCAGAAACCCAGGAGCCCGCGAGCGTTTCTGAGTTGTTGGCTCTCCATTTTTCTCAGCCTCCTTTCTACCGCCCAGTGTGCTGCTTGGATTTGCAATTCGAG